AAGTTCTTATGTTTTTTTTTTTGCGAGGAGGTAGGGGACCCCCGCCACACTCGAAACCTGATTTTTTATTATTTTTTTATTTATTTATTTATTTTTAATTATCGGCCGCGTTCGGCCGCGGCCGGGGGGGCCCCGGCCTAGGCCGGGCGGCCTCGGCCGTGGCCGAACCAGGCCGCAGCCTACGTGCAACATAGCTTGAGGTCCTCTCCCTCCCATATAATATCTGCTGCCTTCCTGTATTATGATGTTGCGATTAGATTGGGAGTGAAACTTTCCAGTTGGACCACTCACTCAGGCGCAGCGTACTGCCCAGTTACATAATACTACACTTGTTCGCTTGGGGCCTCGCTGCACCACTCGACAAACTCCAAGTTCTCCAACATTTTGAATGAATCTGAATGGGGTGTTGATGTGTATACATTCGGAATGCTCTCATTTGGCGAGTGGTGTGACGAGGCCCCACGGAAGTTGGAAATGAACTTGGGAGTGTGCTTGGAAGTGAACTTTCCTGCCCAGCATTTGTTGCACTTAACCCTACCTCGGCGGGTCCTAGGCGCTACACGCGCTCTCTCTACATTCTGCGCGGAATCCCTTGAAAGATGCACTTCTTTTATTTTTGTTGTTTTTTCCCCCCCCTGATTTTTCTGATAGGTGGATGTTTCTATGTTTCACATGGATCGCCATCGTTAAATGATCGTTTGCATGTTTTTTTTTTCCGCAATTTTCAGTATGATAGGGGGCGGATATTATTCAATCCATACGTATAGCTTTGTGTAGCTGTGGCAGTGAGATCTGGCGGCAAGGTTATGTTGCATTGTTAGATTGCATCATTGCAGTCGGCCAGAGCCTACCGTCTTCACTCAAAAGGAACTTACGGTCCTACGGTCTTTATTGTATTAACCTACGGTCCTACAGTCATTATTGTATTATTATCTGGACTGAAAATTGTTCCAAGTACAGCTACAATGACCATATATGTTTAGTTCGGGCAAAGACAGTAGTAAGTCTCTTCAGGACTCGTCAGCGTTGTGTGAACGAAGAAGGGCAAGAATTTCGCAGACAAGATTCTCCTGTTGGTTGACTCCGTTCTGCAAGGATATCGGTTGAGGAAAAAAAAAGAAAAAAAGAAAAAAGGATATCAACGGTTGAGACGTGAAAACCGACAAGTACGACCTGGTGACCCAGTATCGAGTCACCGGACTTGCCATTCGGCATCTTTTGAGTCTCGCTGGCGACCCAATATAAAGTCGCTGGGCTCGCCACTCGGCATGTTTTGAGTCTCGCAGGCCACCCGGTGACGCCAAGATCGAGTCAGCCAGCGGACTCACCCGTCGGCATGTTTTCGTCTTGCAGGCAATCAACTGGACAGATGAGGGCATGGTGAAGAGGGTGAGAGGAGTGGCCTACGCAACCAGGGTGTCGCCGCAAATGGCAAACCGAATGGTGGATTCGGCGCGCGGGGTGTTGAATCGGCTTTTAGCGGACGTTTACATCTTCACTGATCACTACAAGGGAAACGAGTCCGGCAAGTACGGTCTTCGCATCCTTTACTACCCCTGTTGTTGATCGATTTCTGCATCAATTTATTGCTACCTTCCCCTTCCTGCTCCACCTCCCAGTCTCAAGCCCCTTTCCCAGCCTCCACCGCAGGTCATCCACCCAACCTACCCCCACCCTTAAGGAGAAATTTACGGTTGCTCTTCCGATGTGGAGCTACTGTGCTGAAAAGAGCCATGCTGGTGGTGGTTGAAGGTGGATTGAGAAGGTTTTACCTATCTGTTTTGTGGTTGGGAGGGGGGAGGGGGGAGCGGGGAGAGGAAGGAAGGTTGGGCTGGGTGCTTGTACTTCCAGGGAAAATAAAGAGGATTTGGGAATGGCCACCAACAAGCAATGTGGAAACAGGTCTCCCTCACTCCCTCCTCCTCCCGTCACACAAGTGGGAGACTGTTTAGGGTTTAGGGTTTAGGGTTTTAGGAGTGGCTAATTGGCCACTCCTAAAACCCTGAACTCCAAACCCTAAACCCTAAACCCTAAACCCTAGGCAGGGAGACGACAAGCGCATATCTGTGAGAGCACAACCCACTGGCAATGGTATTGTTGTCCCAGTGTTTTTGATCCTCCTTCCTGGTGTTTTTCTTCCCCCTCCGCATGCTCTGCCCAACCATCAGTACTGAACGAAACTGTCGATGAAGCGGTTACTGACACACACACTCCCTCCCTCCATTTCAGATCTCCCGGTTATGGGCTCTCCCTACTTGCCGAGACAACGACGGGGTGTTTGATTAGCGCAGAGCGTGCAGCGGTAGCGTCAAGGGACGCGGATGCTGAGCCGCGCAACGATGAACGGAGTGGCGGGGGCCTTGTGCTGCCAGAGGATGTTGGATCGCAAGCAGCACAGCAGCTTCTCGAAGAAGTGAAGGCAGGAGGAGTTGTAGACTTCACACATCAGGTACGTTGCCTGCTGACCGCCTTTTTTGCCCTTTGCCCTTTCATTGTTTAATTTTGATGGATTTCCTTCCTTCTGTGCATCTTGTACAGCTGAAAGCGGCTCTTGAGCGGTTTCAACCCTTTTTGTTTTTTTTTTAATTTAAAAAACTTGGACCATTTCTCGATTTATGTGTGTCATCCTTGCGCAGGGCCCATGCTAATCTCTCTTTCTCTGTATCGTTCAGATTTTAACGGATGTCCCGAAGGACGTTGCAACCTTTGTGTTAGTTCCGTTCAGGGTTCCCTCACAAGTACAGGATTGACTTGTGGTTCCCTTTCCATCTGCACCCGAATAGAACACCCAGTCATTTTAGATGCATTAAGGAAAACTTTCAGTTTAGGACTCTAGGTACAGCGATAATGACAGGGTGTCCATTTCGGTAGAAGTCGGTAGGGGTTGTCAAGGCTTGCACTTGATGAATCAGGGGGTGGGCGTGAGAGAGAGAGAGAGAGAGAGAGAGAGAGAGAGAGAGAGAGAGAGAGAGAGGGGTGGGGGTGACTTTGGAACGCGCAACACTCCTTGCAAGCCTCCTGGAAGCAATCTGCGTTGTTTCATGAAAGAGTATTGTCTCCCCCCCCTCTTCCATCTCTCTCTCTCTCTCTCTCTCTATTTGACGATATATATATATCTTTGTTTGTTTTTTTCTATTTTTTTCCAGTCTAAGGACGAGGAAAAGCAAACAAAATAAAAAATGCTCTTTTCAGCACCTGGAGAAAGAGAACAGACCTGTCAAACTTATAAGGATCGTGTGGGTGGTCTTGTTTGTGCAGGGATTGCTGCTTCTTCTCTGTGCCTTATGTCCTGAAGATGTATCGAAGGTGCGGCTTGGTCGGCTCTCGCCAAATGCAATAAGGACTCTTCGTACCATAAAAGAGTTTCTTGGAGTTCAGTTCAATATCCAGGCAGAGCCGTCGACTGGCACTGTCATGCTTTCTTGTGTAGGAAGCGGTTGCAAAAATCTCTCTCGGAAGATAACTTAAAAAAAGGCTGTGCGATGGCCTGACCTAGTATGTCATTGTGGTGAAGAGGTACAGTTTTGATGAAGCCTCTGCTTATTCCAACCAATGAGTAAATGGTCCTTCTCTTATTGAAGGGGCTTCGATAAGAAAAGGGTGTTATCATTTGCTTGCTTAGTCTTCCCTGCTACTATGTCTACCTTGCTTCCATGCAAAGTAAGCTGAGTCAGTAAAATAGAAACAATCCTTCTCTCTCTCTGCGTGTGTGTGGTTCCACCTTGTCAATATAATGGTTAAGATCCGGACGTCTGGACTGCAGTGTGCAGACGGTCTGGGTCTGGATGTCCGGGTCTGGTGTCCGGTCTATAGTGTCCGCGTCCATACCCCACCCCCATCTGAAAAAAAAAATCCGACTTAAGAAAAAAAAAAAAAAAAAAATCTGATAAAAAACTATTAAAAAGCTGGGTAGCACCCCGTACGCGTACGCAGTGCATACGCGTACGTATTCCGGCGTATGCGTACGAACCCAAAATCGCGCGTACACGTACGTTGAAAAAAACAAAAAACAAAAAAAAATAAAAATAAAAAAAATCTGAAAAGAAAAGTATGTTGGGCAGAATAATTATACAAACAACATTTGCCTGGGAGGCATACCCGAATTCCAAACCAAGCTCGATTTAAAAATAAAAAACCTTAACAAAGAAAAATATATTTTAAAATAGTTTTTAATTATTATGAATTTATGATAATATTACCTTTTTTTAGTTTTTAATTTATTACTCGAATTTGGTTGGGAATTCGTGGTTGACTCCCAGGCAAAAGTTGTTTGTATCATGTTTCTGCATAATATATATTTGGTATAGAAGTTTGTTTTTATTTTTGTGTGTTTTTTTCCTAGTTTTTTTTTTAATTGTTTCAATTTATTTGTTTTTTGTGTCTTTGATTTTTAACTCGAGTTTGGTACAGAATTTCGAGATCAGTCTCAGGCAAAAGTTGTTTGAAATATCATTTTGCATAACATACTTTTTTTTCAGATTTTTTTTACGTATTCCCACGTACGGGAGTACGTGTACGCGCGTACGTGTCACGTACAGGAATACGTGTACGGGTGTACGCGCAACCCGCGTACATGTACGCCGTGCTACCCAGTTAAAAAGATATGTTATGCAGCATTGCAGTCCACAAATTTTTTGGCCGAGGACCATCCCGAAATTCCAAGCCAAATCCAAGGGGGAAAAGAAAAATTAAAAATAAGATTTTATTTTTATTTTTATTTTTTTTTCAATACGGATGGTCCGGAGCAGTCCAGATAGAGGTCCGACCGGAAGTCTGGCGTAACCATGCTCAATATTCATAGGCACCCTTTCCTCCCTCCCTTCATGTTGATGCCATAGGGTCTCACTGCTTACTTCAGTTTTTGCCAAAGTGTAGTTATTTGCTTTGAAAGTTTTCAATCTCACATCCATATTTGAGAAAATTGTGAAGCGCACCCTCGTAGCCTTTTTGATTGTGAAGTGGATGGGCTGGCACCCATTGGTACTATGTTGGTGCAAACTTTGGGTCACGTTTCTACTGCATAACATAGCTCCAGTTGGGCCCGGTCTTAAGCCATCATTGCGCCCAAAGAACGAAAATTGGCAATCCAGAGCCTGCGCCCAGCCACCAATCACAGCGGCCTCCTCTTCATGCGCTTACTCCTTCACTATTTTTTTGTTACACCAAGTAAGGTCAGAGGGGACCAAGCGGATATTTTGAACACATTGTTTCAGTTTTTCATTACACCCAGATTGGAGACGACCAAGCGGCTATTCTGCCAAAGTATATGCCAAATTTAGCCTGCTTTTTTAGCGCTTGTATAAACTGACGAGTCCCTTTCAAGCGCGCGCTGCAAATGTCTTCATCTCAAATGAATCTCAGTTACAGGCTGATAGCTCCTTATCCATCGTGGGACCACTGACTGTTAAGTTGTTAACACATTTTGACATTTGCAGCGCGCTGACTGTTAAGTTGTTAAGACTGACTGTTAAGTTACAGGTTTTGCTTCGTCAAATGCAGGCAAGATTGTAATATGATGATGTAGTCCACCTTCTGATGTGCCGTCCGTCAGGACATCCGCTGAAATTGGAACAATACAGAGAAGGGTAAATTAGCAAATGGCCCCTGCGCAAGGATGAAACTTGTGATGTGGCTTGGCAGATCAAGACTCTGCAGAATTGGAGTGTGGGAATGCTGGCTATCCCACGGATGTGGAAGAGGAGTCCGGTTGTCTTATATGGTGGGGAGCGCAGTGTATGCTCTATTTAGGAGACGGCCGTTGCGCCGCGGTTATAAAATAAGTTTCAAAGAACTGAGACCTCAAGGGAGACTAATAATTAAACCACCAGTACATTTTCCAGCCATTTTTTCAAAGTCGCGGTGTGCATGCAGGAGCGAAATTTTCGGGGCTTGGCCTCCGGCGCAAAATGGCTGGTGGCACCAGCTAAAAGGACGCCCACGCTGGTTCGTTTGTTTTTGGTTGTTGTTGTTTTTTTTGTGCGCAGGGCAGAGAAAAGTGCCTCGGAAGTACTTACTGGTAGTTTAAGACTGCCAACTCTACCATCGAATGGTCATTACACTTGTATTTGCCATTTGGCACAACTTTCAGTCCAGATGCAGCACAAATGACAGTACACTCTATTCAGCGGAAGACGGCAATGTATCATTTTCTCGGATTGTAGAAATGATACTGTCGTACGGGGTCCCATACATCATCACATACTCTCTGCTGGGCGATCTCCAACGTGTCACGCCCTTGTGCCCATTCCTTGCTGACGAAGGCATGTGCTCTGATATTTTTGCTCCGGAACTCACTCTGAAGCAAGATCGGATATTGTGTAGCCCCCCCTTTCAACAACCTAAGGCCTTTCTCGATTTATCATGCATGCCATCTTTGCACAGGGGCCATGCTAATCTTCTCTGTATCGAAGTCGGGTAATGGCCCCAGTCTCTCAAATGATCTCAAATGTTGTTGTTGTTGTTGTTGTTAATGAAAACATCGCGGTCGAACGTGGGGGGGGTGCTGGTAAGAGCAGGCACCCCCTCTACGCCCGCTATTTGCGAACGGCTCCGTTCCATTGGTGGGGAGCTGCACCTGCTGGAAACCGGGTCCAGCGTCCCTTGACACTTCAGAACAGGGAGCCAAAGTTCAGACTTGTTGTGTTGGCCTGTTATCACAGGGCCCCTAGTCACACATAAACAACATAGAGAACCTTGTCATTAGCCTAAACATAGGTTATTGGTAAAGAGCCTAAATGTATCTTGATCAGAGGCCGCAGTTTACAGTCTACAGTCTGCAACTCGCCCGGGCTGCAGCACGGGATCTCAAATGTTCTTAATGATCTGTACAATTCGATATGGGACACTGGGCCTGGTTCCCAGCACGTGTTGCTCCCCGCGAATAGACTGGAGCATTTGTCTTCACAAAAAAAAAAAAAAAAAAAAAAAAAAGTATTGACGCCGGGCAGCCCCGGTATCTCAAATCATCCCAAATCATGGCCAAATGTTCTTAATGATCTGTACAATTCGATATGGGACGCTGGGCCGAGTTCCCAGCACTCCCCACGAATAGACTGGAGCATTTGTTTTCAAAAAAAAAAAAAAAAAAAAAAAACTTCTCTGTGTCGTTCCCATTTTATCAGATGTCCCATAGGGCAACAACAACCCAAGCCCTTGCCATGCGATTGAGTAGATTCCTCCAGATATCTTAAGTTATAGTACAATAATATCCCACTGTAACACATAGTATCTCCATTCCACCCCATGTTTCCTCTATATTCCTATAGTATATACTATATACCCATTACTGTATTGAATGTATCTGTAACACATAGTATCTCCATTTCACCCCATGTTTCCTCTATTCCTATAGTATGTACTATATAGTATATACCATACTTGCAAGTGGACGGATTGGACGAGCATCCGGTCCGGTCCGCTTTGCTGCGTGCGGCACCCTCCCCCCGGACCGGATGGACCCAGACCGGACCGGACGGGACTGGACGGGGCCATTTTTTTTTTTAGAGGGGGGGGGAGGGGGGTTAACTGGTTGTCGGGCGCACTTTCGTGCGCCGCGCGGGTCCGGTCCGGCGGTCCGCCGCACGTGCGGAACAGCCCGGACGGCGTCCGCTTGCAAGTATGCTATATACCCATTACTGTATTGAATGTATCAAGCCCTCCGTGTCTTGACTAATCATGGGCATCTCCCTATCCACATTGAGAAGAATATATTGACTCGCAAGGAGGGGCACCCTTAAACCTGCAGGACGTGTCCCAACCATTTTTCCAACGATGCGGCTTGCATGCTGCCGTAAAGTTTAGGGGTGGGCTGCCCAGTCCAAAATAGCTGGCGTCGGCAGCCAGAAGGAGAGGCTGCTGCCGATTCCTTTTTCTTTGGCACGCAGGGCGTTTCATGCGCCGGGAAAAAGTGCCTCAGAAGTAATGGTGGTTTAAAGTTTAAACCATCAGTCCCCAAGTTGAGACAGAAACTTCACCTTCTGGTAGGGGCGTGGGGAGCTGCAGAGGGGTAGAGCTGACCAGAGGTGGAGGTGAAAACAGATCCCCTTTCAAGGTTGTGGAAGTCCAAACAATCTGTCTCAGAGGGCTTGCAGGGACCTGAAAACTGTTTGCCAAATGAAAAAGGCAGTGGCTGACAAATTTAGGTGCCCGTGAAATTGTCATTTAGAGTCTCTAGACTTCTACAGCACGCTCCCATAACATTTTTGCAGTGTGCCGCCGGATTGCTTTCACGCATATTTGCAAGCGGACGCCGTCTGGGCGGTTCCGCACGTGTGGCAGACCGCCGCATGGGACCCGTCGGCGCACGAATGTGGGCCCCACGACCAGTTATGCCCCACCAAAAAAAAAAAAAAAAAAAAAACCGGCCCCGTCCGGTCTGGTCCGGTCCGGGGGGAGGGTGCCGCACGCGGCAAAGCGGACCGGACCGGATGCTCGTTCGGTCCATCTGCTTGCGAGTATGCTTTCACGCTATCCCTCAGACATTGTCTCCACCTTCTGCGTGGCACGTTGCCAGACGGTTGCAGGCAGTGGGCTCTTATGCTACCCTACCCTGCATCCCAGTTATCCGTGCCGCTACCGATACGCAGAAAAAAGTCCATGCTGCTCGACCGCTACGTAGAAAGGAACTCATCGTTTGTTTTTCAAGGCTTGTAACATCCCTGAACATTCCAAGCTAACCCTTTCTTTTTTTTTT